TGATCAACACCTGCATCAGCCATAGGCTCTATCCACTAAAATGAGAAAAAAAATATTTTTTATCATAGATAATACCTTTTGATTAAAATGTTAGTAGAAATAATCTTAATTAACAATTGAAAATTTACATTTAAAGAAGTTAAAATAAAGCATACCTGATCTGGATGGGAAACCATCATGTGCGTTTCAAAAAAGGCATCCTTTATTTTACTTCTAAGACATTTCACTAACGGGTGACCAAAAGTAAGGTTAGGCACAAAGTGTCCGTCCATAACATCTAAATGTAAATAATCAGCACCGTTGTTAATTAATCGTTGCGATTCTTCCGAAAGTTGAGCCAAGTCGGCATTTAAAATCGAAGGTCCAATTTTTGCAGTCAGCATATTTGCCATTTTTTAATTGAAAAGCGCTAAGATTACGTGACACGTGTTTTCAGCAAAAATGATGAAGCATTATCGAATAGTCTAATGATCTTTCGACCAAGGTCGTTACGTTTGTATCAGATTTGTTGCATCGATTAAAAGATACTTGTAAATGAATTATTCGACGAAAAAATGAATCAATCGAAAAGTTAGGTGATGGAAAATAAATATATATCGGAAATTTATAAACAGTGTACGAAATGAAATACGTTTATTTATACATAAAAATATAGCGGTTCACAATAGACGATGATAGGTTACGATAGTTTCAGACAAATAATAGACTAAAACAGTCAAAATAGGTAAATAGTACTAATACTTGCAAATAATAAGCGAAGTAAGAATCAAAGCCAGGGGAGCGGCGTGTTTCTTTTCACCAGGTATTTTGGGGATTTAGCAACTAGTCTTAATAGTAAACGAAATATCTTTCATTATATCTGCCTATAGGGATCGGCTTCCACTGTACATATACAATAAATAAATAATTCGTTTAAACCATACGAAACATCGCTTAAGAGATGTCGCCGATAACGGACAACAATTAAATATCGATATATATATATAGTTTAAAATCGCTATTTTAAACTCGTTTAAATCATTATTACAATCAAATACAAAATTCTTTGGCACCCTTAAATCTTTTATAAAACTTTAAGTAAAACAATGGTTGCGTTACGTTGATAATAACTAAACTAAGCACTGCTGATCGCATCGTCGATTTTTCAATACTAAAATATAATTCTATGCAATATAATTCTATATTCTATTGCACAGAATTATACATAGAGAACGCTTACACGAAAACGATACCATTTTGAACGTTAACGAACACCGAAAGTTAGCGCAAGAAGACTGTCGTATGTCATACAATAATATAAGATAGTCAATCGAAGTTTTTCGTTTTTCGATGATTCTTCAGTTAACCGTTCGATCCACTTCTTTCTCAGGCTGTAACATTTGTCATTAAATTCTTCACCTTACAATTGAAAAAAGAATTGATCAGCGTTGAGAGATAAGCATTGCCGAATTAAAAAAAAAGAAAAGAAAGCCAGTGCAATTGGTAGAGCGATGAAAGATCGATTTAAGTGAGAATTTCTTTTTTTTAGAAACTTACGCGTAAGGGATAGAGGAATGTGCTGACGACTTGTTGACGACTTCCAGATTTCGCTTTGCAAGTGTAACCACCCATGTCCTCCCAGAAGAGCTCTTCTATCAGTAGGTCACCGGTGTCCAATACTCTGTGCCGCAAATTATTGGATAGGCTCAGCGGTACGTTGTAGTTATCCACCCAAGTAATTTGCGGCGTTGGTTTCCCATTCGCTCTACATGGCAGCACCACGGTTGCTCCTATGTTGGCTACCAGCGTCGGTGTGTAGAGGGTGATTGTTAGATCGCTTTCGGAACTACAATTACCGTTACCAACTTCGTCTGCAACATAGTAGAATCGTTCGAACAAGGAACTTTCGGTTGTCGAACTTCACCTTGGCTAAACGCCTTCGAGGTTTCTGACTGCGACTCCGCGTGTCTCGTTGGAAGTGTTTCAACGTTTCGTCACCGTTGCAATTTCATCGGGACTTGAGTCAGTAATGTCGAAATATTGGAGCGTATATTTTTAAAAATACACCCATTCACATTCCTAAATCTCTTTACATAGCGTAACAGAATATCACGCGATGGCATCGTTCCAACAAAATTAGCGAAGCGCCTAATCGATCGTTGTAAATTATTTCAAGCACGAGTAAAGTAACAAGAATGGAAGAGGGACGGTGAACGGTTCGATTGCGAAAATAAGTGTTAACGAGTGTTTAGAGAGTTCGGATGAATCAGTCGTTACACGAAATATACGAATGAATTGTAAAAGACAAAAGGGTTGCGTGACATTCGGTCAAAGACTCATGCTAATGCAACTTTAGATGATTGACAGTTAATTGTTAATTGTATCCCACTTACTGTTAACCAGCAGCTCCGTAGGAGTGGAGATCTTCACCTCTCTCGCCGAAACCGACGCACAGTAGATCAATCCAGCGTCATCCGGAGTAACGCATTCTATCACGAGCTTCGAATTAATTTCGGCCATTCCTCTCCACTCCTCGGATGGATCGTACAGAGAATGCGTGCTGGCTCTTATGTACTCGGTGAACTATGATAAAAGAAGAAGAAAAAAAAGGCAGAAATTAATATCTCCTTCGTTACTATTCGATCGTACGATAACAGTATCGTGCGTTGATATTTACTTGTTCATTGCTGCCGCTTCCTGTGAACCAGAAAACTTCCGGTGGCGGGCTGCCGCTAGCTTTACACTCCAACTCTACCCTGCTCCTGTAGCGAAAGAAAGAGACGATAGTATCGATAGCGTTGTTACATTTAGAATTTCCATTCGATACTTACCCTGCGGCGGCTTTGATACCGTTCACGGGATTCTGATTGATTTTGGTCCACGGTTTCACTGGCTGGAAATTTTAACTTTAAATTAATATCCTTAATATTCTTTCGTTTAACTCGACATAATGTTGTAAATTTATAACGCGAGATATTTGCACATTCGTATCTTCCGTAAACATTTTTCTATCCAGTTGAAATAAGTAGAAATAAGCGATTTAGTCCACGTTACCTTGGATTCAACATTTCGCGACCCGTATTCCGACAACGGTGTGAGGAAGTTAGAGTTGTGCTCCACCATTTGCCTTCCTATGCTTCTACGTTCGGCGGCTCGTTCGACGGCATACCGTGGCAGGAAGGAAATGGGATGTCCCGAAACCGTATACGAGACGGTAATAATACAAGCGAGATTGATCAGCATCGAACACGGTTGCATCTGTGAAAAACACACGACGAGAGTGGAGGACGTCCCGAATGAGAAAGCAAAAGAAAAGAAGCGAATATACATATATGACGTTAGTAATATTTAATACCACGTTGCGGGCTAACGATGTTACATCAAAGAGACTGATTTGATGAATGTGAAAGGACATTGTGCAATGATTGAATCAGAGTGAAGTTGAGGAACACTATAACGTCACGCTTCTTTCGCAGAAATTGGACCGATTGAATATAACAATGCGGATTTAATTGTCGGGTTAGGTACGCGATTTATAATATCGATTCATTCGACCTTCCTTCAGAGGATACGAATAAACACAATTGGCAACGATGAAATTAAAGTCTCGGGAGAACGCGACGATAATTAAATATCTTCGGTAATAACCGTCGGAGAGCGTACACATTCCATTCTTTCGCCTCTTATCCGAACGTATTACCGAGTTAATTTTTCTTTGATAAATTTTCGTCCGATAACGCGGCAATAATATTACGATTAGTTTTCCCCTCCATTCCTCGTCTTCTTTCGCGGCATTCGCGTTTCGTGATTTAACAGTTTCGTTTATACGTAAGTGACGCGCGTCACTGGGAATAATTCGTTCAATGTTACGAGGGAGGACGTAAAAGTACTACGGCAGATATTTCCTTCTTCTTCCTTTTCGTTTTTCAAAAATGAATCAGCGATCTTTGAGGTGTATGCGATGAAATTACGTATACAGGATAAATCCCCGTTTCACGTGACGACGATCTTTCCAAACGATCGCGAAACGTGACTTGGAACAATCGTTTCGAAAATATGGAATGACTCTTGACGTGCTGTACTCAGTCTCTCACGTGTTCTGCTCGTTAACGTAAGCATCGAAATCACCAAATTACAAAGTATCTCTTTGATCTACCGTGTTTTATTATCGCGGTCGCGAAACACGATTCGATACCTTCGCCGTGTATCCCTGTACTGATGCACCGATATCGAGTCGCGCGAAGAATGCCTGATTTCCGTATGACATCTCGCTTGTTTTTCTTTTAATCTCCGCCTCTCACGATTCTTCCACTTCGACACGTTCGTTAGGATTTTAATAAAGGCGTGTACGTGCTGATCGCGCCGTTTGCCGTGACTTTGACTTGTTCTCTCCTCGGCTGTTCAATGCGTCTCTCTTCTCCAACTAAAAGTTCACGAACGAAATCGTAGACGCTACCGAATCATTTTATCTTCGCTGGCCGTACCCGTTTCTCCCCTTTTTCTTCTCCTCCTCGTCCTCGTCGTCTTCGTCGTGGTCGTGGTCGGCTTCGTGGTCGTTGGTGAGAGGAAGAAGGAAGGTCACGCGTACCGTTTAAAGGAGATTAAGTAACACAGTCTGTTAACGAGGCAAGATGTTTGGAAACGAATTCGCGCGGACGTTAATGAACACACATGCGGTGCAAAAAAATAAGGGAGAATCTGGAGGCGATACGAATGCCGGCTGTCGTGATCTTCTTCTTTCTTTTTCTTCGATGCCAACACTTGCACGCAGCGTGTGTCCCGAAGAGGAGTTAAAGAAGTGGTTGAAACTTCCGAGATATTCGACAGTTTATTATCTCATAACGAGACGAGTAATTTCTCGGACGTTTCAATGAAAAGTGCCTGTATATTTGACCAACCGCGGGAAGAGAATTCTTTCTTAACTTATCGCCGGAATAATGAAATGCGTAAGCAGAAAGTGCCCCGCGGATTACTATTTAAATCGGGGTGACAAGGTATAATCGTCGAAGAATATTTCTTATTCGAAATAAATGACGATCGTGTGCTAGTTGTGTCGTCGATACACGGCGAAACGATTAGTTTGGCTGATATTTGCGTGGGTTATTTTCCACAAGAATTAATCTTTTCTATTAATTAGTTTCAGCATAATTGAACTGCACCGAAAAGAATTTTATTCTTGAAACACGAATCACCTTGTTTTCCTTTCTTTCTTCGAGTATTTAATTGCCGGTTGATTATTTAGGAATTATTCAAAAATCGTTTCATTCAAGGTGCACTTGAAATTTTTGGAAGATCTGACATCGGTACTCTCTCCAGAATAATTAACGACGACGAACGGTTCAATTCAGATATCGTTGTAATGCCTAGTTCGGCGATAGTACGCCAGAGAAGATTAATTTTATTGCGTTAGTAGAATTCAGAGGTTGAAATTTGCGGTATTAGTAACGTAGTTGGAATGTAATCAAAAACTGATACGACAACTGGTGGATGATGTTATCTTGGAGAAATATTGAAACGTGTTAAAACGTAAAAATCGTCGAATCTGTTGTAGAACATCGGACTGAAATTATTCGGGAAACGTTTAAATAAATTTCATACAAACGTTCACATCAATTTCAAAGAAAAAAGAAATATCTTCCGTGCGATTTTTCTTCGTTAAAATATACGCAACTATAAATAGAACGTAGTCCTTCCTTTCGATGCTGAAGAATAGGCAAATTTAAAAAAATTTACACTTTACTCTCTTTTGTACGCAGATTTTATCTAACCGCGCCTGTTATCTGTTATCTTTTGTAAAATTAATTCACACGTGGTCTAAGCACGAATCATTCTCTATCGAGGTGTGTATTCGTGATATTTCGGTGAATTCGGCAATCTTACCTTCGAAATTTGAATCACGACGGGTAATTATCACAGGTGGATAAAGCTCGCAAAAATATCAATCCTGGCACTGCTACGAGATAGAACTTTCGATAAAGATACTCGCGGCGAAGATGCTTTCTAGGAGTGCACATCACGAGAGGAGGTTTCGAACCGAATGATGCAACTTCTTATACAATCTTCGCATCTTCCCTACGATCTCGCGCCCTCTTTCCGCAGAGCCCTTTAACGCGCATCTTAATCTAGAGATGATATCAGAGACCATAAATCGCGATAAGAGAATATACACTACCGGCCAAAAGTTTCGAATCACCTGACAATTTACATCAACACTGGAATCTGCTGCTAATTCTTTACAGATTTGAAACTGACGTTGCAGAGATCAAGAGTAATTTACCCCATTTCGATTCACTTGAATGGTAAAGAATTCGTTGAAAAATTCTTAAAGTTGTTAACTTTTTCCTAAGTGGTACCAAACTTTTGGCCGGTAGTGCCAAACGAGAATGACCGAACAAATGAAAATTTTCGATTTGTTCTCTCTCTCCTCTGTCTCTTCTCTTTCCATTCATTCCTCCTCCTCCCCCCCCCCTTTGTTTTTTGTTAAACGAATACGTTAGATGCATTTTTAGAAATAAAAATAATAAAAAATGCGATTTCACGTGGAAATATCTCCTCATTTCTTCGGGGGATCTCCTCAGAGAAGAGGAATGAAAAGAATTTGCTATAGTTGAATAGAAATTTCATTTTTTCTCCGTTTTATTGGACGAATACTTTGCCTCACTTCTTTTGGGGTTCTCCCCCCCCCGAGAAACGATCGAAAAGAATCTGTTAGAGTTGAATAGAAAAAGTTGCTATCAACCGTGGTTTATACTGATTTCCATCGAACCGTCTCTCGTGTAACACGAAACAGTATGAAAGAGGGTAAAAAAACAAATGGGGGATGGTGATAGGAAAGCGACACGTCCAGGATCCTCGTTGGAAAAAGCTCGAACTTACCATTTCTTCCTTTTGTTTTCTCAGAGTTTCTCTCAGACTTAGGAAAACGAAAAGGCCAGGTTCACTATTTAATCGTCAGTTTGGCAGCTGCGAATAAAAATACTGACTGAGCATCGAGGAACAGTTATTGACACATTTATATATTTCGAATGTAGCGATGCTTGTCCCCGATTGGACGACATAGCGAGGAGTAGGGTAATAAAAACCACACCAACAATTGAATTCATTATACGCGCGTCTCGTTTGTGCACACATAATAGTCGTTCCCAATTTACTTCCACCCTCATCTATGCCCCATTCATCGATTTTTACTTCGAAAGAACATGCCAGGATAATTAGCTTTTATTGAAACTGATCGTACCAGGAAGGAGACGATCGCAATTACCCCCAACGAGGATCTTCTCTGTCGAAAATTTCGTGTACCGGCGGGCACCCTTCAATTGGCCAGGGATGTATCTTACATACACGAACCTCTGTGAATGTACAGTGACAAATAACGACGCGGTATGATCGCCGATAAATTAGAAGAATATCGCGACGAATTGATACTGTTCTTTTTCGGGGGGGAGGCTACGCCAATGACTTCACACCGTCAACGGAGCGCAGATCTCTTGAAACTTCTTCTCGTAATGGTCCAGCAGCGTCATTTGGATTTCCATTAAAGACATCATCTACTTAGGTGGAATATCCTTGCAATGTGGTAACGTTATGTTTCCATTTTATTCCTCTCAGTTTGTGTGATTTGGGGAGAAATTTCTGTTGCTCGTTGGTGAAATTGTTTTAAGTTGTTTCAAAGAGTTGTAAATGTAAGTTTGGAGTATTGAAATTATATGTATCGTCGAGTTAGTGTAATTTCAAATATAAGATTGTTGGGAATATTAAATTTGTGGTACTGAAAGAAGTATATATTATTTTAGTATGCATAGAAACTTCGATAATAGTACTGTTTTAAAATTTAAAGAAAACAATATTGCAGTGAAATTGTGATACATGAGTGGATGTTAATGTTTCATAAAAAAAAGTATATACCAGTTTTCATATTTTTCCGAAAAAGATTTTTTTATTGGAAAAAGTGTCGCATTTGCCTCAATTGATCACTTTTCAATTTTTATCTGTTATTTTGGTTAATTTGGTCAATTTGATTACGGACGCTCGATTGCGGACACATTATCGTCAAGGATAATCGGAGAAAAGTGGCACTGTCATCAATTTATCGCATTGTACTATATTAAAAGAGAAATTCGTAATAGTTAAAGATATGAAGAAAAATGATAACTTAAATGGAAATAATAAAATATTGGTGTACGTGTTAGTGTTTTATACAAAAAATTTATTTACATAAGTGCTTTGAAACAATAATACTTTGTGGCTGAACCACAAAATGAACCATAAAATTAGAATATAAAATTAATTAACTTTCATTCTCCGTCGAATTTAATTCAATCGCTTTAAGCAATTTAGCCGTAGATACGATATCTGGTTCTAATTCTTTTAAGTTTGTTCCTACTTCAGTTGTACCCTTGACCACGTCTTGTAGGATCTGTAAATGGAAAAGAAGGAATAATCGTATTGCACGTATAAAAATTGCGATCTATCGATACTAACAGAAGTATTAAAAAATATACTTTTCATAGAACTAAATGGAAACTACTTAGCTAATTACAAAAAAAAAGTATTTCATATAATTTGAATATGTAATATAAATTATAACCGCATGAGCTAAATTGCATTTTGATTTATAAACATAACCTCTAACCATTTTTACGTTGTGATAAAGCATTTCGGTGTTTTCTTTTTTAAATACGATGGGTTGTTCACGAAATGATGTTAAACCTTCACACGTTGTTGCCAAGTTATCGTCAGACATGTTTAATTTATTATTTTATTATTTTTGTGATATAGTTTTGTTTACTGTAGTGTTATCAAGTTTCTTTTACGTATTGTTTGATACAATTTTTAAGCCCTTAGTTATTCTAGAATATTATGCTAACACTACGTATTAATATTGTGTAATATTGCATTGATATATAGAAATTCAAATATGCGGAAACCACTAAAGAAATGTATCAATTATTATAAATTTTAATTATTATAATTAACATGCAAACTAACGCAGACGCACATCAGCGTTGGTTCTATGTGAAATGGCATACACCATTCGCCTCGTATGCATCGTACACCATTTCACATAGAACCACTACCACTATGCGTTTGTGTCAGCTCCAGGAATTTGACACAAATCTATAAGACTCAATGTAATAAAGTATTATATAAAAAAACAGGATTTTCACAGTTATATGTATAATAATACATAGTTTCAAACACCTTTGTAAGAGTGCTCTAGGGACTTTAAACAGTAAGAACGTTGCGTACGTTTCTCACTAGCTTAAGCTCCCGTCGCGCCATCTGTATGACATGAGGGTACTTGCGCATTTTTCACGACGCCCTTCCTTCTCTTCTTGGCGAGACGTCGATGTGTTCGGTAATACAACGCGCTACAAGTGTTTTTACATATTAATATTTTCAGTGTTTATAATTCTCGTTTTGTAGTGTTTATATTTCTCGTTGTGCGTCGTTATATATTTATATTTTTCTTGTAAAACCTAAGAACATTCTCTTAATTAAATCAAATATC